TGCCACAACGCTGGGCTATATGTCTATTCTTTTTTTTTTTTTTTTTTTGAAACAGAGCCTCAAGCTGTCACCCTGCATAGAGTGCAATGGCATCATAGCTCATAGCAACCTCCAACTCCTGGGTTTAAGCAATTCTCTTGCCTCAGCCTTCCAAGTAGCTGGGACTACAGGTGCCCACCACAACTGCCATTTTCTGGTTGCAGCTGTCACTGTTGTTTGGCAGGCCTGGCTGGATTTGAACCCACCAACTCTGGTGTATGTGGCTGGTGCCTTAGCCACTTGAGCTACAAGGCGCCGGGCCTATTTGTCTATTCTTAACGCCAATACCACACTATACTTGATTACTATAGTTTTGTATTCCTTAATCTTTTATATTACATGTAAAAATATCTTTGAATAATTTCTACATGCCAATAAAGAATTGATAAGATTTCATACTGCCTATCCAATTACATAAATTCAGTAATGTTACATTCTCTATGAAAAGTAGTGTTTCCCTTCTAACTTCCTACTAGGAAGACGGATTGAAGAAAATATTCCTTTCATTATCATTGGTTTCACCTATGTCCCACATTCTTGAACTTTAGTACTCATAATTGTACCTATTTCAATTGTATTCATGAGGTAATGATCTAACATTCAATAATTCAATAATTGTTCATCCTTCTCCTTGTATATTTTCTTAGAAAGTATTTGAAAGAAAAATTTGTTTGAATATCAGTGCTTAATATACAAATGATAGTAAAGATATTGTTACCATACTTTGTATTTTACAAAGCACTTAAACAGACATTACTTCAAATCTCAAACACCTTGAGACACTGACAGAGCAAGTATTATTTCCCCACCAAGAAATATGGGCTCAGGAATGTCCAAGAGTCACCACAAAGTGCTACAGATATAAATGAAAGTCTACTGCTCCATAAAGTACTTCTATTTCATTTGAAAGCATTAAATACAAAAATGCTTAAAACCCTGGGCTTTTATGGAAGGAATAGCATGCTGTTGGCAACTAATCAGCCTGTTATTTCATATCACCAGAGACTACATCCACTCAGTGTCTCTGGTTATTTTGACAGCTGCTTCCCATTACCAGCATGCCTATCCCAAAGAGTACTTTCTCCCTTGAGTATTTCTGAGTGAGGCACAAAATTTCTTTTCAGCCTAAATACAAGATTTTTCATACCTCACAGCAACCCCAAACTCTTGCAATATAAAATTTTTCAAAAGATACCCTAATAAGGAACTACAGAGGGGAAAGTAAAAATAAATCAACCACAATTCCTCCAACACACACCCCAGAAAAAAAGATTAAAATATGATATATGTAAGAATATAGATT